TAGATTAATTTATACATTTATTTCCTTTTTAATAAAGATGCCACTTATTTTAAATATTCTTTTAGAAAACATATATGGACTTTCTAGATTGTACTGTACATTCCTGGGCATAATATTGGACATCACTTAGAAGTGATAGTTGATAAGACAATTACACAACCAAACAGGAATGACTCAGGAATGGTCAAGATAATTGGAAAGTTCATTGTAATTTCTGGAAATTTTGAATACCAATACGATTACAAGGTCACTTTTCTACCTGTAGGAAAAGTAACCTTATAGAAGTGCATTATCAACTTCTGCTTAACACATTGATGTGGCATAAATTCTGTGACTGGAGGGTCGGCACCTCTTCGATGCTTTGTCAGGAATGATAACACGGTGTCCTGATGACAAATCGGTTTGGATTAGAAAGTAGGTCATGCGAGCAGCTGCGTGAGTGAGCTATTGGAATCAGGATGGAGACTGTGAGATAGCGAGCAGGAAGTGACTCTTGCAGAGAATAGGTTAACAAAACAACCGTTTATTTGTAAAGGAAAATACATTTTATACAGTTTAAATCATTAAATGAGTTGTAACAAATCAAGCTAAAATAACTCTAGATACCTCCAAATTTCTCGAGAGAGAGTTTACATGAAGTTTGCATGGTGATAAATACCTGTAGTTGAAGGATCCAATTGTAAACTTGATGCCGGAGAGGATTTGGCCTATTCATTAGGGAGGTTGGATAAATGCAAAAGTTGGCATGTTAGAACAGTTCTGGATAAGATGTATTCCAGGAATAGATTCTAGAATTATTTCAGGTTGATGACGAAGTTATTCTGCTTTGGAGGCACAAATGTTTCAGATCCGAGCCAATAGGGTAATTCATTTTGGAGCACAGATTATTGGTTGAGGAACTGGCGATGGTTGTCTAAACTTGCAGTTACTTGCTATATTGAACTGATGAAATTGAGACAGTAGGTCAGTAGGTTATGAGAAAGCATCACTTTTACTGTTAAGTTCTCAGCACTTTTACTGCTGAGAACTTAACAGACATTTTACTCCCAGGTGTGAAAGTTTACAGTTATCTGACAAAATTTTATTGTCAAGACGTTATGTTATGATTTAGTTATGTAAATAAATTACATAGTGCAGAGTCTCACAATTCTGTGCAATGGAATATATTCTAATTCTAAAGAAGTCAGCTCACAAGTGAAGACCTTGTATGAGAATTATCATAGTCTTCATAAGGTAGAGTAAATAGCAGGCATTTCTAGAAAGATTATCTTAACTGTTCTACTGTTGGAATTATATTGTTGAAATTCAGATAATACCTGCCCTAAAAAATTGGGATAGGAGATGTTTATTGCAAAAAACAAATATGAACAAGACAAAATCTGCTCATTACAAGTCATTACTTCCAGGAATCCTTAAATCTAAATTCTTATTATCCTATTCTTATTATTTATCAAGTTCTACAACATAAGGATTCTAGCTACTGCAAAAGTACTGAAGAAATTGCCTCTGACTTCAAGGCATAAGCAGGAACACTGAGTATACTGATATCAATAGTAGTTGCTTTTTCAGATGAAAAAGAATTTTCTCTGGATGACTCAAGCAATTTGTACTCATGCACTCAGATATAATTTCCTGCACCCAACCATTGTATGAAATATTAGCAGTATGATGAAAAGTATGATTTTAAGAACAGTTACTTCAATGGAAAAAATCAAAGTTAAGGTTGTCAATTAGAAGTGTAATGGTAGTGCTTATGTAGAGAGCCTTTAGCTCATCTTTTTCCAATGGATACAGCATAATGCATCAGTACATAAAGCCAGACTTCCAAGAAGTTTAGATCTAAATGTTATAGAAAATATCTGGCATCTTTTTTTAGAACTATAATCATGGTTACAGTTTAGAACTGAAATGGCAGATAAACCAATATCAATATTGTGACAACCATGAAGAACTTTGATGTCATTGTGTTGGTATCAATTTCAACAAAGCTGTGATCTAGATAAGTCTGTACCAAAACAATATAAGACAGTAAAGTTTGAAGATTATATACAATGAAGAATTGAACTATAAATCTGTTTTTGGCATGATGTGTACTTGATTCTTTGGTGGTGATTAACCTTATATCTGTTAAAATGTTAAGTGTAATAAAAACGATTAATCTGAGAGACTCCATTACATAGTTGTTATTTCATACCAGTGCATTTTTAAACCTCAGTGCACCATACTCATTGGGCTAGTGTAATGTATCAGATCAGAATGCCAAGTTGTGGAAAACATTTTGACAGAGTATTTTTTGTCCTATTCTCACACCCTTCTTTTCCCATTTCCTGACTTAAATGGAGTAAAATTGACTCTACCAAGTATATTCTAGTGTTGCCACCCATCCAGTTTTTAATCCATTGTTCGGGTTAACTATTAATTTTGTCCGGGATTTCATAGAAATTGTGAAATTATGATGAAAGAAAGTACTAGCAAATATTTGTATAAATTTAAATATACTTTATTTTAACAGCGAAAGACTTCACACTCTCATCGAAACTTAATCTGCCATCTTATGCTGACGTATGCGCAACCTGTTGACTTTTTTTTCCCTTCTCAACTCTTTTAAAGCTAAGTTATTTCATTTCTTAATTTAAGTTGCTCCTACACAAGTCCTTAACTGGTTTAGAACTGGCCTGCACATTATTCTTCGTTTGGTAAAATAACATTGTGCATGCGTCAGGGACTTCTGGTTGAACAAACCTGATCTGCCATCTGGCAGGTCAGCAATTTTGAAAAGGTGGCAACACTAGTAGGCTTACCAGACGTCCCGTTTTGACCAGGATTGTCCCAGTTTGACAATATTGTCCCTGCGTCCCGGCCAGTTTGTCATTTTGTCCCGGTTATTTGGTAAAATTTTAAAAGTGCCAAGTATACAAGAAGTAAAAATAGTGCAGCCTCAAGTAAAATGGCAATTTGGCAACTAAATAATCTTGTCCTGTTACATTCACTGTTGCCAATCTGTATATTTTGTATCTAGATCTAAGTACTTTTAACGTTGTCTAGATGTTTTCCTTCAAAATTTATAGCATATGGCCTAATGAATTTAGAGGTTTTATTTTTTCACTCGGATAATTTTTCACAGAATTTATAATAGCATGTAGCATATGAGATCCAGATATTTTTATTTCATTTTTTATATATTTTGTTTCAATCAGAGTTGGCAACATTGAAACTTTCACTGGCCATGTCATTGCTGTGCATGTCATATCTTAGTCAGCATTTGTGATTATTTCGTACTGTACATTAAATTAATTTAATCTCTAAAATGCCAAAAAGAAACTTGTGTTTACTGATGATTGAAAAAAGTCTATGATCGTATTGATGAAGTAAAATATGAATTGTGCTTTTCAGAATTTTCAGTAACTCATGGTGGGTGTTCAAATATTAAAAATCACTAGAAATATGTGAAACATAATCAAGCAATAGAAACTTTCTCAAATATATTGTTATATTTTAAATGTACCTATATAATTTAATGTGTAATTTTGACGTTTATTTGCTGGAAATTTTGAATTTAGGTGTGATTTGCGAAATGTACCTATTTAAGTGACAAAAGAATTTTTAAAAAGAGTTCTCACTAATGAAAAATATTAACAACTTCTTGATAATAAGATGTTTAGTTGAGTTATTAAAAATTGCTTTCAACTCGTCGTTTTTGTTTACACCTTCTTTATTTAGCCTTTTCAATCATATTTACTTATCCTAGTAGGCTTTATTTTCTGTTGAGAGTATTTTCTCAAAATTGTCCCAGTTTGAGAAAAAAATATTATGGTAAGCCTAAACACTAGTGTATTCTCTTTCAGAAAGAGGATTTATAGTAAGTTGTTATATAATGGATATGAGATGGAACATAAAGGGAAAATCTATACATTCATAGTTTTCTATAACAATAAGATTCCATAATTGGCTTAGAACAATTTAAGGGTAACTCCTAAACTTTAGTTGGTTATTTTCTCTTTCTATAGACATTACTTTAACAAATCAGTGACTTGTGAAAGCTATAAATTGCCGCAGAAAGCCCTGCCTCCTCTGACTATGAGCTTGGAAGTAAAATGTAAATATAATCACTATAAATTTGCTTTTTTAATTGTTTTTTTGAACTTTAATGAGCTAATTTAATGTTTTTAGACAGTATTTAGGCGAGTAAACATTATTTTAGAACTGTCAAGCTATAAATTTTTTGGGAAAGTCAACTCCCCACTGTTACATAATATGAGAAAATATGTAAATAATCACATACAAAATTGTGTAGTATTTTAATTATTGTAAAAATTGCTGAAAATAAAATAATGTTTGTTTTACATTATTGCTAAGAAAACTTGTCTTAACTTTGACCCTCTAATGACTCATCCACCACTCTCCCAGGAGTGTAATTAGACTTAGTGTAAATAATGGCTATAACTTCTCTCCTGCTCCAGCTAGATTGCTGTAGTTTTTGTTTAAAAGAAAATAGACGTGCATAATTAACTGGTGTAGGAGATTGACCAAATCTGTTTAAATTATTATTTTATTTATTTAATTTTTTGTATAGTATAAATTTAAAATAATATTTAAATTTTACAAAAAAATAATCAGTTGTAAATTGTAATATGTTTGTAATTAAAAACAGAAAACAAATTGAATCTAGTGCGATTTTAAAGTGAGATATTGCAATTTAAAAAATTATCATAAAATGCATTTTTTTTTTTATTAATAGTCGACATGGAAGGTAATAAATTAATATTTATTTAACAGAATTTTTAACAATTGTATCGTAAAATCCTTGATAAACATCAAGGGTTCTTAATAGATAGTCTAAAATAAATTTTAGAGTACAGTATATCACTTGTATTTGCATATCTTAGTTTTAGGCAATAATGTTGGGTTAGTAACACTTTTTATCTGATTGACTGTTGTTCAGTTGCCATAAAAAATTAATGTATTTATTGAAATTTATGGATTTCATCTTTTCTTTCCAGTGTCCAGAATCAAATACTAAAAAGGATCTTTTAGCATATCTTCAACGTATAGCTCTGTACTGTCATCAATTAAATATAACAAGTAAAGTAAAAGCAGACGTCCAGAATATTTCTGGCAATCTCATTGTTTCAGGGGTAAGTATCATTATGAGAGAAAAGATGATAAATTTATAAAAATTGTAGACATCACAAGATTTTAAATTTATTTCCTTATTCTTATCATTTCATTTTTAGTTGGACAGTGCGACTTCTTTAATTCAAGCAGCTAAAAATTTGATGAATGCTGTAGTATTAACAGTGAAGGCATCTTATGTAGCATCAACTAAGGTAAATTATTAACTATTAGAATATCTTTCTTTTTTTGTATTTGCACTTTATTAATTGTTATGGTTTTTTTTAGTATCCAAGAAGTAGCGGTATGGTTAGTGTAAGTATATATATATATGTTTTTTTGTTAATTAAATTAAATACTACCATAATTTTAGATTTTAATTTTATATTGTTTGATTATTTCATTTAGTCGCCAATTGTGGTTTGGAAGATGAAAGCACCGGAGAAGAAACCTCTGGTTAGACGTGAAAAACCAGAAGAAGTCCGGGCTAAAGTTAGAAAAGGATCACAAAAGAAACACATTGCTCCAATCAAAGCTTTAAGTGAATTTCAGAGTCCAGCAGAATCAGTATGAGAAATTTGGGGAATCATTCCAATTTTGTTATGCAGAAACATCCCTTAATGGGAAGGCTGATATTTTAGCATGGAAAAACTAGTAGTTGATGAAGTCTTTTGATAATTTTGAAGCTTTTTTACATCAATAGACATTTTCTTCTTAAGAACTCATCTTTATCTTTGTATGTATTGTAAAAGAATTTTTTTCCATTATAATCTTAGATAGCATGGCCTAGACCTCATAAGATTTATTTATCTAATCTTTTAATATCTCAAAACAAAAAAGAAAAAATCTTTTGTTTTTTCTTATCTTTTAGATGTTTAATAAGGAAAAACTGCTCAATTTAATTATTTTGCAGAAAATTTGCTTGAGACGATTCAGAAGAAAAATCTTTTATGAGGCCTAGAGAATTTTCAATACAAAGCTGTCTAAAGAATTATATATAAATACTTTTTACTATCAAACCAGTTTTTGTATTGATTATTCCTGTCATGCCAAAGAAGGAACCACACAAAATAAGTGTGACTTTGCACTGCTTTTAATAAAAGGGGAAATTTTATTTTGTACTATTCTAATTTTTTAATAAAATATACTTTGATATTTGTTCATTTTGAAACTTTCATGTCGAGCAATATATTTTTCTCCGTCGATTTTCGGTTACTCCTTAATCGGACAATGTACATAAGCAGTCAGGAGCTACTGACGGGTGCTGTTTTTTCAATTGTTTAACATTCAAGAAATTTAATTTGGGGAATCTTTTTTAAACCAAGACCAATATCCAAATCATTTTCCCATTTGAGGAAATTTTGTAGCCAAACATTGATGTATGCAATTTGATACAGTGAGAGAGGAAGTTTATATACACTATATATCACAGGAGAAATCTGTTTGCCATTAACAATCAAATTTATTAACATATTTCATTATTACTGTTATTTTTTGAAATTGTATTTCCAACATATGTATCTGTTCAGAACGATCGATCGAAGAGCCGTGCCAAGACGAGAGATCGACGATAGGAAATCATCGTGTAGTCGTAGGAAACAGCATAAAAGTATGTAGTATTACGAATTCCGATGGTATTTGTGATTGTGAATTGTCGGCTGAAGGATGCACTTCACATCTCGGTTCTTGTATTTCCTAATACGGTAAGACAAGATGAGAAGAAAAATATTTTTGTACCTTCACCATTTGTGTGATCGTTATAATCGGGGCGATTGCATTTTTTTGTCACCTAAAAAGAAAGTGCCTCAATCACATTTTTATGGCACTAAATATGCATGTATTCAATTTTTGTGGTTCACATGCAATAAAGATTGAAAACGTGATTGATGCAAAATATGATTGTTTGATTATTACCTAAGTACAGAATACATAATCATCAATATAATGTAGTTGAATGAAAAGTACATACAAATTCTTTTAAAATCTATTTTATCATCATATTTCATTCTAATTAATTTTATACCAAGGACAATGTAGAGAAATTTATCATTAACTTCTCATGGATTTCCACAAATTTATCAGGTATATAGAATTTACACACACACTTTTAATCACACTGCACTGCATGAATAATAATAATGCCTTAGTTCTTTAATTTTTAAAGCTGGAAAATTATCATCACAATCTTCTAATTCTTTGTTTCATTAATCAATGCAAAAGTCTTACACATACTTCGCATTTTTTGTTTTTTTACAATCATTTCATGATCTGGTAACCATTTTAAAGAATAGTTCTAAGCTGCAAGGTCTACTTGAATTCTCAAAATAGCTATGCCATACTAGGTCGGGGTCAGGTGTATTATATGTTCTTAATTAAAATTTGACATTAAAAATTCTATTTATCTTCAAGTTGTCTACCATCTCTCTGGCTGGATTTAAAAAAAAAAAAATTAGCAACGAGTTGTCTAACTTTCCCAGCTTTTATGAGATTTTATTTTAAAAGTGACATTTTTGTATTAATCAAAATAAATAACATTGTATGTGGTGCCATCTATTCTGAGATTTTGTTATAAATACTTGCTATTTTATAATAATAATAAATATATAAAGAGACTTAATTTTAAGGATAGACGTGAGTTTTATAAAACACTGTAAATGCTAACAAGTAAAATCTTAAGTTTGACCCCTTGCGAGTATGACACGTGACCACCTGCTCTTTTTATCCCCTCAATCTTTCACAACCAAAATTTCATACATACATACAAGAAAGACATTGGCCATACATGAAGTGTTTAGCCCGCAGAAAAAAAAGGGTAAGGGGAAGGAGGAGGGAGAGGAGATAGACAGTAGAGAAATGTAGGATCCCTCTGAACAGCTTACATATGACTACAGTACCCTCTATGTTTGATGTTGGTGTGCAGTTTTTATGCTGCAGACCATAGTCCCCCAAAAGGTCTAAATGTAAAGTTGAGTGCAGTGAACACCAATAATTGAGTGCTGCCACAAATAGCTAAGTATAGAAGTTAGTGCCAAGTGGCTATTAGTATTAAGTAGATATGTCTTCTTACTAATAAAACTAAAACTGAATGCAATCGCGAATCTTAATACTACTAAACAGCTAGACAGACAGCGCGAAAAGGAAAGGAAACAAACACAATGACAAAACTAGACAAGACAAACGGGCAAGACCCAATATTATTTTTTTGTTTTATTATTATTTTTTTTTAAACATTAACTTACTTACTAAACTAACCTACCATAACCTAGGACAAACCTAAGCAGAGGACTGAAGCTAACAAACCCTAATCTAATTTAACCTAACCTAGCATATCCTAATGTGATTGTACCAAGCTAAGAGTCCTAATCTCACTTACAATTACAACTAACCAAATTTAGACTGAAAGAGAAGACAGAAAAAAGAATTAAAATAAAGTTAAAAGGCAGCTATATACTGACAGTTGAAACAAAGCAAGGAAAAGCTAATTGCCATCCATGCCCATGGAGTGAGTACTCTCAAGAGATATGAATGTGAGTAGATGATGGAACATTGTACATGTGTGAATGAGTTGGTGCAGATTGCAAGGTCAATTGTACCCTTCAAGAATAGCAGCTCTCATTAAACTATCCCTAATGTGATTGTACCTGTTGCAGTGAAAAACTAAGTGAAGTGGTGTTTGGTCTGCCTGAATACCACAGTTGCATTATGGATCATTAAATCTATGCAATTATTGCTCAAAGTTGCCATGTCCTGTAAGTAGCTGAGTGAGGGTGTAACTAGGGTAAAAGTGGCAAAGAATCGCAGTAGTGTTAACCTTGGGGATGAAAGTGTAGGTGAGCCTTCCAGTGGTGTCACGGTCCCAGCTGTCTTGCCAGAGAATGAAGACTTGCTTCTTGATATGATTGTTGATGTACAAGATAGGAATGTAACTGAAAGTACTAGTGACTAAAGACTTCGCTGACCTTCTTGTCAAACAAGCTGCAGTCTCAGGAGGGATGATAATCATAAGTCTGGGGTATTTTTGTTAATGCTGAATTTTTTGATTTCGTCGATCAAGATCAAACTGGTGGGAATCTTGTCTACTCTAATCATTTTATCGACATCTAAGTCTCTATGATCTCGCCAGGGTAAGGTGACAAGATTTTCTTGCCAAATAATGCATTTAATTTCTAAGTCGATAGGGGTAAATCCTGACATTACCAAAAGGGCACTAGTGGGTGCAGTACTATAAGCCTTACAAATGTGTAGAGCTGCAATTTTTTGAACAGTAACAGTTTTTTACATTTATGGACTTTGGTGTGGCCCCAGACCTGAACAGCATAGAGGAGTGCTGGCTGAATTGCATCCCCTGTAAGCTTAGTAGTGTTAGGGCCAAGACCCCATGTGTTCCTAGCAATACTAATGAGGGTGTTGGCCATCTTTTTAGATTTGTCCGTGATGTATTTGATGTGGGGTATGAAGTTAAGATGCTCATCAAGAATAATCCCTAAATATGTAATTTCCATTATTTGCTTTATTCTGTAGACACCTATTTGAAGGGTAAGCTTCCTGACAAGTGGCGCATTCCTACCTACTATCATGCTTTTGCATTTATCTGTGTTAATGGGTTGCTTATGTTTAATATTCCATTGGTGAATGTTATTGAGAATGTCATTGCATATGTTCTGTAAGCGTTCACTGTTCCTGTGTGAAACTAAGATAATTGTGTTGTCTGCATAGCCCTGTATGTGGCAGCCAGGAGGCAGGGTGTCGTTTAAGTGCAGAATAGAGTTATAGGCTATGTTCCAGAGACCAGGACCAGACCTGGACCCCTGAGGACAGCCTCAAGTGATGGGTATGTTATTTTGTGTTATATAAACACCTGCACTCCTGTTGCTAAGATAGGATTAAAGAAGTTTGTAAAGATTTTGAGGGCAGTAATGAGCATGTAATGTGTGCAGGATAGAAGGCTACCAGACATGATCGAAGGCACCTCTAAAGTCAATATTGATAATTGCAGTTTGCTGATTGTTTTGTTTAGCCTGGTGGATGTAGTTAACGACCTGATGGATGGCATCTACTGTACCTGTGTTTTTAGAGAAGCTGATGCAGGGCTCTATGCTTGTATAGATGCCATGTGATCCTATTAATCATTAGACCATCTAACACTTTTCCTAGAGTTGGGAGAAGGCAGATCAGTCTGTATTTTTTGTAAGTGTTATTGCTGGTGGGTTTGGAAATTAATTTGACACTAGCCTTTTTCCACTGAGTAGGAAAAAGGCCAGTGTTCGAGCAGATATTGAAGAGAATAACAAATGCTGTAGGATTGGCCTCAAATGTGTTGGCCAAAATTTAATAGCATCAATGTCCCTTATTTACAAGTTACTGTGCAAAATTCTGTTTATCTTCACCGTCCTGACATATTAAGTAAAATATATGCCAACATGCATCCATGGAATTTTTTTGAGTTCAGGGATCTCAAAATGTGGAGATTTGCAAAATACTCAGAGGGTGAAATTTGGCAATTCCAATACATAACAGCAAGGAAAGTAAAATGTCCTCATTTAACTAAAATTAACATGAAATCCAGTAATTGTGATAATTAAATATTGATTGGAAATAAATTAACAATCAATTGCTTTAATAAACATATTTCTCTTAGTAACAAAAAAGAATTGTATGCTTTTGCTAACTTTTGGAATGTGTTTTGCATAGCATGGATTCACAACACAGCACTTTTTGGACCGTAACTATTGCATTATATGAAGGATACCTGATGATATATATTAATTTATACTTTGAAGCTTTTAGAATGTTCTGATTTCTTTGTCTTTCTTTTTGGTCTTGCCAGTTTATTTATTAATTTAAAATCATGTATGGGAATACCTTAATCCAGCTTTTCTCAAACTTTGCTCACATGGGCAAATAAATATATTTGTAAATGGTTCCACAATCCAAATGTTTATACAATGGAACCTCAAAGTTCGAACTGCACACAGTGAAAAATACACTCAAAGCATGAATGCAACATGTTGTCCAAGTCATCTCTTGTTCTTGCATTACTCTCATATGTTTTTTGTGTTTTTATCACTTTATTTTTGGAGTGTTTGGTTATATATAGTATGTTGTTAAAAATTGATGAACAACATGCCTTCCTGTAATTTTTCTTTGTCGACAGCTTTGAGTGCCCTGCATGTTTTGTATCCTTTAGTCCAAAATTTCTTTAACAGTATTTTTGTAATGTTCAAAGTTTAGTAGCATCTTTACCACACAATTGTTTTTATTGTTTGTAAGGTGTTACTGTATATCCTTTTCAAAACACATAAATAAAGCTATGCCTGATATGCTTTTTACCTGAAGACATTTCAACTTGATGTTGTTCAAACAAAATATGAAGAGATAAATTTAAAATAAGATTTAAAACAAAGGATACAATCTCACATTATTGCTAATATGAGATTGTGTTCATTCTAATAGATGTGATTTAATTATAGCATTCATGTTGCGATTCCATGTACTTGATTCTGGAATTGATACATAGGTAGGCTGAAAAGTAATGCACACATGCTTGTAGAACACGGACAAAAACAAATAGCAAGATCGAGCAAAAAGTACATTAAAGTACAATTCTTAAGCTTCAAAATCATATATTTATTTTTCAACATAGTCACTGTTAAGGCTAACACATTTCTCCCAATGTGTAACAAATTTTTTCATTCTGTCACTGAAAAATTCTTCCGACTTTTCTTGAATCCAGGACTTGACAGCTGCCTTCACCTCATTGTCTGAGGTGTAATGATCAACCTTGAGGTCTCTCGAGTAGAGGAAAAAAATAAAAATTGCAAGGTGCAAGATCGGGGGAATAAGGAGGGTGTGGATCGGTTCAAACTTCAGGTTTCGCAGAGCCTTTCCAGTTGCGCATGAGGTGTGCGGATGAGCGTTGTCGTGTTGCAAGATTATTGGCACCAAGCTGCCTCTAGCATGAAAAACTCAACGTCGGAGGTGTTTTAGAGTCTGTATGTACTGAGAAGAATTAAACATTGCAACGAGGGGCAATGGTAATTGTCTGTGGCAGTGATCGGACATCCGCCGCATGTTTCATCAACAATTATGGCTTTTCCAGGCTTGCAACCACGAAATTTTGTTATTCATCGATTTACAGTATACCTATCAACAGCATCGTCACCATAAACAGCCTTTAAACAACAACGAATCTCAGTAGGAGTTAAACAGCATGCTGTTATCGAATTTTTAACTTGCATTGACATAACACTAGTGCATGCGCATAGAGGGGGGAATGTTATTTCCATATGCCACCTGGCACGCTTCTGAAAATCATTTTGTCCGTGCTCTACAAGCATGTGTGCATTACTTTTCAGCCTACCCTCGTACTTTTACTGGTATACAAATATTTTATTAGAATCAAAGCCTTTGATTTGAGTATTTGTTAAGATTCAAGCTATATATTTATAACAGGTTTAGACTGTACTCAATTATATTAACAATAGTTTATGTTGAATGACCAAAGTGCTTAAAATATTAAATACATAAGAGATAGTAAAAATTAAAGAAATGACCTTTTAAAGTTCCGGCGTATGACCAGAAAACATATGAAACATGACCATTTCTAAATTATTCCAATGATAAATTGTTGTATGAAACAAATTGATCTTGCCTGTTTTGCAAATATTGTCGTTGTCTGTCTTAGATATTCTTTTCTAAATATTAAATTGCTTAATTTATATTATTGAACTCTGTCTTCCTATTGCTCTTGCCAGACTTGGATTCTAGATCCAAAAACTTACAAAGACTAAGAACCATGTAGACTGACACTTCATTCATAGACTATAGTTTATAGTCTTGAATCATTGGCAGTGTTGCATGGTACCAACTAGTTCAATGAATGGTCTCATTGAATAGGTTGGTACCACGTGATACTCCCAACACACATTGCTACTCACATCACTCAAGACAAAAGAGTCTCCTTCCAGGGGGACTAGAGTTTTGGAGCTTCCACAAGAACTATCTCAAGACAGAAATTAAAAAAAAAATAGTAGCAGCTGTGATAAATTGAGAGTACACTTGATCAATCCAATGGCAGCATTGTCTTCAAATCCATAGGAACTATGGTTTGAGATGGTTTTTCCTGGATTGTACAAGCAAGTGTAAAAATATTTACTCATAATGGCAATCTCTGTACTTGCAAAAGACTATTTTCAAAAGCATTTAATGAATTACAAGTTAGGCTATTATATAGACTTTAAATTGCTTTCCTATTTCTAAGCTTTTTCTCAGTGATAGTGGGAAAATTGGTCTTGCTACAATTTCTGTTTAGTTATTCAATTTGTATATATACTATAGTAGTAATTGAAATTATATATATATATAATAATTTATTAAACTTGTGTTTGTGATTTCTACTTTTCTTTGCAAAAAAATCTAAACAGAATCAATTCTTTCCTTTTCACCCTAGTAACAATTTCTTTCTTGCAATATGTTTCCAAGGAATCACAATATCCAGGGCAACCTGACAACAAAGGGGGGCACATGCCCCAATGTACAGGCACTCCTAGTATAGTTATGTAGTGAAACATGAAACATTTCTTATAAATTCCCTACAGCAGATAGACAAAAGCAATGTACGGTACCTGAAACACTTGTTTCAGCTTCAATGACTTTCCACTTAGTTCAATTCAGGACTGTCTTCTCTTGTCCAACAAAACATGCTTAGGCAATGAGCAACTGACATTGTTGCAAGTACACATAACCAACATGCCTTTGTCTTCTGCATTTTTGTCCTCCTCCACCTAGATCATCCAGTACTCTTATTAGTACTTGTGCCAACAACAGTAGCAAAAAGTCCGGATGAAGTCCCATTTCCAGCATTTTCTCAATAATTAGGATCATTCATTTTTGGATAAATTTTGAAGATATCAATTGCAACACTCTTTAACTCAAGTAAGCCTCTTGACTTGAAAGGTAAGTGTTTTCTCAACACCTGAAAATCAGTAATGTTATCTTTCATTAGCAATTTCCTCTGGCAGAGAGTTTTGAGTGTCACGTCATTCAACAAAAAGCTGACAAAACGTATATATAATGTATATCACTGTATTTTAGCTTGAAATTTTATACGCAAATCAGCACAAAAGCAATGTATGGTCGAGGTCAAATCGACCCCTTTTGCAACTCTAGTGTTAAAAATCAAATTCTTAAATACAATCAGATTTAAATGCAAGAGTATAATTTGATTTTCAAATGGCATTCAACAATACTTCAAATTTTCTTTAGCTTTCAGAATTTTATTGACAAAAACAAATAAGAAATTCATCTTTTATTCATATAACTATAATAATAGACAATACAGTAAACTGAAGAGACGAGTACCTCGGAACAACATTTTTCTCAATGCATTCTTATTTAATAATTTTTAACGTAACAGAACCAGAACCGAGACCAGAATTGAGAATTATTCTCCCAACAGTAGACTGTGTGTCTTTTCTATGTCCCGTTGCCCTGGTTCCACCTCCGTTTTAATAAATTCTGACGACAATCACAGATTAAGTCTCCGACATCTATTAAAACCTTTTGTATGACAATTTTATGACAATTATATTAAGGAAGATCTGTACAGATGTAAATAAAATCTAAGTATATCACAGAATAAAAATTCTCATTTAAAATGTTGTCGTTAACCCCTTCACTCTTGTTTCTAAATGCTAAAAAGCAATTAGAATGTTAACAATATTAACTTATGGAAGACATTTTCTAAAGATATTTTATTAATTAAAAACTTTTAGTAGTAGAAAATTAAACTAAATTAGTGATCAGTTTTAGAAATAATCATATAAGTAAGTAATCAGTACAAAGAATCAAAATCCTTAAATTCTTGCAATTTCTGGTATTACCACAATAGGAACTTTAATTGTGCAGAGTGAAGTGGTTAAGTGACTAAAGTTAATTGACATCACAGGAACAAATAATACTCTTTAAGAAATATATCACCTCTAGGTACAATAACATTTCATCATAATTATCTCCTTTGCAGTCTTTTGTGAGATATTTGCTTTGTAAGATCTAAACTTTGAGATTCAAATTGTTACTAAATTGTCATTCTTTACTATTTTCTATTTATAAGACATTTTATGACTAGCTTCACAACTCTCTTGTAAATGTTTAAGAATGTTGTTAATTTGAAGTCTGATATTTCATAATTCACGTGTAAAATCATTACATTTTACGAACGGCATTCAATGTAAAATCGACAAAACAAAGCAATAATTTACATGATATGAAATTTGGAATATGCTATTTCTAAATCACAACATAACATTATATACACGTTTATACATCAACCAATATGAAGAAAGCATCCGAGATTATGCTGATATATTTGCCGCCTATGATCACAATTACAGTTGGCTTGGTAGAGAGCTTTTCCATTTGATGATTCGTTAACTTCCAGACCATTCATTTACTGTCAAATTTATTATAGGCTTTGTCTGGGGTAGATTAATTTGAACCACCAACTGCAGTACGTATCAAGCATTTTGGAAGTTGTGCAAAATATTGCCGTTAGTTAAATTATTAGCCAAAAACTTGTAAATTTGACCATTAGCAGTATCACTAATATGTATTGGAGAGGATGAGAATTTATGAAGAATTGCAAAAAAAATATTCCAATAATGTAAATTAGTGTTTATCTGTATTCATTCTACTTTAAACTAATGTAACTATAGAAATAGTTACAGAAATAAACTAATAATCTCCAAAAACTTCAACAAATCTGTAAAAACAAAATATTTCATATTAAAAACATTCTAGCCTAATAAATTTAGGTAATTTCAATGTTTAAATGATTATGTTCGTAGATTTTTTGTTGATTTTTGGAACCAGATGAATCTGAGATTTTCTTTGGCATTTAAATGCCAATATTGGATATGATGTTTAGTGGAATCATTTGTTCGTATCAATTAGACTTTTAAAATAAAACGAAACATATATTTTATCGCATTTTGACTTTGCATATAGAATTTAAAGGAAATGTTGATGTTAATCCAAATCCACATTCCTACTTATCAGTTTAACAATTAGCATGTGACAATCTCAACATTTCTCTCTGGCCTTCAATTTATCTCAATCTCCCTTAAAAGGTCCAACTTATATTTTGACATTTTCACTATTCAATCTCTTAGATAAATTTTAATTTTCCTGCATTCTGTTTCACTTCACATATTATTATTATGATTATTTACTGTATATATTTATTTTTATCTCAATCTGAAGCTCAGCAATATTTGTACACTAATTTTCTAAAACTTGCTTGTATATTTACATAAAAATTACTGTACAAATCAAAGTCTATTCAATTAATTATTATTAATTCTTTGAAATAATTTATAAAACTATACACCACTGGATGTGCTTTTCTCATTTGAATATTGTGTCGTCGTTAATGGAAAGTCACAAGCAACTTCGTAAGACGACGTATTCATTACTTTAAAAAAATCACTGTGAATGAACTTGGTAAATCTGTCAAACGAACACAAATGATCCTGTTTGGATTTTGATTTCTTTGCTTTAAAATGCGATTTGCAAAAGGGAAGATGCTTTGTAACATCTTTGCCATTATATAAGATTCTCAAATTATAAGATTTTAAATTTGAGATGGTCGAACTATATAATTCAAAAATAATTCTTGATGCATAGGATGGAATTACGCCGTCATTAAATCCTAAACAAGATGCAACTGGTGACAGAGTAATGTCGTGGCCAGAATATAATATAAACCGAGCTGCATTTGGCTTCTCGTTAATTAAATTTTGCATGTTTTGGTGTACATTATAAAGAAAACCATGCATTTTCAATAACGAATTCCTCTTGTGAATTCCATCTCCAGCAAGTTGTTTCCTCTCCCAGTCAAGAAATGCCATTAAATTCCGAACATGATCAATTGTTACGCAGATATGAGTGTTTGGAATGCAAGGAAGTTGCGAATTATGACATATATATCCCATCAGACTGTCAAACATTGCAGTTGCAGATGTAATATCTTGTTGATTAAGATTAGATTTGACAATAGGATTTAACTGTTGAAGTAAATGAAGTACAGCAGGATGAGAATTAATCAGTTTCCTCTGCTTCTTTTCAATTATTCTACGCTGAAAATCCAAGACAGGACATTTACAAAATAGTTCTTTTAAACAAAATCTTGTATCAAAAGATGGTATTATTTTGATTTCAGAAAAATCAAATTTCGGCAAAAACCCAAACAGAAAAGCAACAGCACTTTGAAATGTTCTAGCATATACAGTGCTATAAACTTTTATGTTATTGTAAGTAAAATCTTTAGTCAGTAACTTCCAGTATGTATTATAAACTTGACTTAGAATGTTTCCAAGCCATAAATGTTGCGTTGCCCCTAATAAAGTTAGCTGAGATGGATTGCACAGTTTTGGGTGAGGAAAGAGATTAAAAGCCGAAAAAGGATCTTCCTTTGGTAATCTCTGAACTGATTTAACATATGATATATACTTGTTCAGAAGAGAATGGTTTAATTCTTTACTTACGCCACAGTTAATATATGACTGATTACGTATTTGCCTTAATGGTGCTCTGTCTCCATGACGTATGAGAACCACCACCAATTCTAAAGAATAATTTCCTGGCATTTTACCTGAAATAAAAATTTATATTATATAGTTATCAATTTAATGAAATTAGGATTGAAAGTCTAACAAATATATATATCTAGTATCAATAATAAAACAGTTAATTTCATTTTTATTAAATTGAAAAATCAATTCATACCAATCATATAATTATTGAATTTATATTGGTATTGATTTACATGTATTTTGTAATATTTCAAAATTAGTGTAGCCATTTTATCAGTAGTTTTGGAAATTAAAAGCCAATTCTTCTGTACACATTGAACTTTATTACTTCAGATCTTCTAAATATCTTTATAAAAATCATGTATAGATTAATATCCTGCAAGTATATTTTTAAAGCATCTTACATCAACTCAGCATTAATTTTATATAATGAAGAATTGAATTCATTTAAAAGAAAAATTATGAAAACATTATTTATATATTAATTAAATATAAAAGAAATGTAAAGATATTTATTTTAACAATGTATAAGTATAATGTATTTAAATGAAGGATAAACATTGGATAAGATTTGTCAAAAATTTTATTAAAGAAGGGATTTTTTAAAACATGTAAATATAATACAATAAATCTGGACTTTACATAATTCTCTCAAATTTTCAAAACATTAAATTAAAGTTTTGTGACAATAAAATAATAATGAATATTTTCAATATCCAGAAATCTTTGCAATACCATGCATTATATTACTATAGCTGGTAAGTTACAAAAGACTACATTTCTGTATACTGCATATTCATAAAATTTTTTAAACTCAATTCCAGTAACAATAAATATAGCAGTATAATTTCAGCTCCATAAAACTTCTGTATAGAACTGATCATAATAAGTTACTGTATTCACATTACTGGTGTTCACATTCTTGTTTTCCATGTTGTTGGAGAAAATCAGATAGTTTGGAAAATACAGTGCTCTCTCAGACCCTTTTGGCTGGGTGTGCTCCTAGCTGATACTATTAGCCATCTGGCTAGTTAAATCTGGTGAAATTGATATGTCAAAATAATAATTCATAAAACTTGTAAAGATGTCATTCCCATCTATGAAAACAATGTTAAAACAAAAATCAACTACTTTGTCTCTACAGCAGAGAAAGAATGCAAAAATATAATTAAAAAATACTTTTAAGCAGAAACAAAAGTCAATAGTCAAGAGGAAATAAGGACTGTTGTGACATCTATAGATCACTATAACAGTCATAAAAAACAAACTGCCAATTAAATACAAGGAAATATGAGCATGATACTATTGAAAAGCTTTCCAATAGATATCAATAGTTAACATTTAAAAAAAGGTGTGCAAAGGTTAGAAATCATAAATCATCAAGTGTAAAAAAAGTATATGATGTTATGTAACAGGTAAATACATTCAGTCCTCAACTTACAACCACCATTAATTATGATGGCCAAAACTAGAATAATAATAAACATTTTTTTTAGTCCAAATAATTGATCCTACTCTCTAATGTCTATAATTATTAAATGTAAAATGTCAGATTATTACTATAATTGGTTATAAACATACACAAAACTGGTATACTTATGTTTCACTACCATTTAGATTTGCATTATCCAGACTGAGCAGCTCTGCAGAAATCTGTTCTGTTTTTTGAAGTTATACGGTTAAAGGGAATTAAGAAAGTAAAATAAATTCAATACAAAGAATAATATATTCCTTCTGTATGACTTTTGGTTTCTTTGAATTTGATTAACTACCTGCATTTCTGTGAGTCTTTGTTAAAAAAATACCAATTAATTAAAATAATAATTGTTGTTTGAAGTTCAATATACCTGAACAGCATTGCTTTATTGTATTACAGGCCATAACTGATTAATATAGTGCTGATTATAGTGCTGATTAATTTGACTTACAACAAAATTAATCATAAGTCAGGTACTACTTGCAGTTTGCTATTAACCATATACTACTGTTCAACTTGTTAATATTGAACATGCTGTTTCTGGAAAACTGATTTGATGTGTAAATAGAATTTCACATTTAATAGACTATGCTTTTAAGCTAAGCTAGAAAACAGCATTCTTTAAAATTATTATTATTATTTTAAGAAAAAACTAACAAGCATGATAGTGAAGACATCAAATGAAAAATAGAATCATCAATTACTCAGAAACTTTGCCTGCGTGATTAATTTACCTCTACATAATCTCTTTCAAATGCACTCCACTATAAATATGTATATATTATTTATAAACATATGAAATAAAAACTATTTGTGTTACAATATACAATGTTTCATGTTATGCAAACTATCTCAGAGAGAAAATGGAATATATCTAACATTATGATGCAAAGTATATTACATATTATATGGAGCCAAAATATCAAAAAAGAAGGGAAAGAAACTAGCTAATTGCAATTGAAATTACTGGCAAGATTATATAGATCATTATTCATATACAAAATAAAAACTTAAAGTAGTGTTGAACATAAAAGGCATCAATAATTAATGCCTTTTATGAGGATATCCATGAAACAGAACACTGCCAAGGATATCCATGAAACAAACCACAGAATATGAGGGGAAAACCTATTAAACTCTAGAAACTGATTCTTTATATATATGCATACACGTTGTGTGTGTGTTTGTAGAGAAAGAAGGATCATATTTACAAACAACAGAATTTTATAATATTGCACAACATTCTTTGGTTCAATTTCTACTTCTTCATTCAACCAGGTTAGTAATTTATGGAGAGAACACTGAAATAGTTTGGTGGATTTTGTTGTTTTTAACAAAATATCAACTGTGTTGTGTGAGATTAATATGTTATTGTTAAAGAATATTTTTAATGTATAATTTGTAGAAAAAGATTTGTAACTATCTTAACTGCAAGTTATTTTCTCAAAGAAATTTTTATATATAAAAATTAAAAAATTAATGAGTTTTATACCTGTTAACTTAACAAATTATTCTTATAGTTTCAATTTGATGGTTAAAAAAATAATTAATTATTAAAGAAAAAGGAAATTGTTGAGAGGTATATGGATATTGTAATATCTGTATAGAGAATAGCAGTAAGTTTACCAGTTACATCCAATTTGTAATTATTTGATTATACATAATTTTAAAAGAAATTTTATATTTTAACTTTAAATGAAAAAGAATATGCAACAAGTAAAGTGTAATTCAGAAAAACAAAAAAGCTCCTATTTTACGTAGCCACTGTGAACAAAGTAATACTGATGAAGTCTATTCTTTACTGAATGTGAGAATAACTTTCCTAGTTTCAGACATCTTACAGGGACTTGATGTATTCCACTTTTATGATGCATGCAGCATACCTGAAATACCTGTAAGGTATTCTGAAATTTCGAAAGTTTACTCTGTCACTCATCACTATTATTATCTATGACCACCTGTAATTTTATCATTTTTAGAAAACATTAGAAATCAAAGCATAAAATGTAATTTTATATTAAAGTCAAATTAAAATCTAATTTTGTAAAATTTTTAAACATTTATCCATTCTTAAATTTTCCTGATAACACTGAAATAATATAAATTGAGATTTTACTTTAGTTTTATTTTGTTTATAACAACAAAAAAATAGGGCATTTTTAATTAATTGAAAATATACATACAGACTACATTTGAAAAATGTATATACAGTAGATCCCCCTATAAAAGCGTTTCCTATAGTTATGATTCCTATAAAAATTGTGGCATTATCCGTATACAACGGTAAAAATAACTCCTATAATACGTAAAACGTCATCGGGCAGCCGAACTACTTACCCGCCGTCCGTAGCGCCACGCTACGGACGTTTAGGCGGATAAATTGAGTTTAGTATCGTCTGTTCATATAATTATATATAAATTAGGTACTGTACATATAATTATATATTAATTATATATAAATTAGGTACTGTATATATAATTATATATTAACTTAATGTAACGTTGCTATATTATAATTAAATATATATTTTTCGCTGTCTAGCGTCACGCTACGGCGAGTTAGGCGACCTATCGTCTGTCCAGTACTGTAATTTTATACATTTCTTGTGAAAGAAACATTTTTTATTTAACGGCCATAAAAATTATTTATATTAATGATGTCTCCAAAGGTCAACGAAGTTTTCGCAGAAAAATAATATCAGAAATCGCGGCCGCAATTTGATGCGCTGTTCCGCGACGAAACCAAGCTTTAGCAACGAGCGTAGTCAAAGGGTACACACTCGGTAAGTAATCCTACAATTTTTTGTTTATAACGTAGTTTATACGGATTATTTTAAAAAATATATACGTATTTTGGAAATGTTGAGTCGAATTAGTCTAGAATCGATTAATTTTATGAAAGAAAACCTTTCAAACAGCCGTAGTCCGTAAACTATGATTCCTACAAAATTGATTCATAAAGAACGGAACGTATCTACCGTCTTATAGGGGGATCTACTGTATAAAGATTTTTTTTGAGAGAATTCTAATTGAGTTTTGAGCAATGACAAATTTGTTACCACTAGATGACCCAAGTTCAGAATCTCTCTAAAATTAAGATTTTAATTAGTTCTTATAGAAATAATTTATATATAGTATACTCTTGCTAATCTGGTCCTTAATAATCTGCCTCTCAATTATCCAGCATACCCCCTATTTGCTTCCATTTCCATGAAAATGTTAAGTCTAGGCCGGTATGGACCATAATCTCAGTGTCATATGTCCTGTTTCTTGTTTACTTAGCTTTCGTTTCTCTGTACAGTATTGCATGTCAGTTGCCTTATTATTGCCCACCTGCCTCCAAATAGAATCAGTACCAAAGGACAACAGATCATATCATACATTGTCTTTATGCAGGCTTTACATGTAGGCCAATACACACATTGTGCAAGGAATGGCTGGATTGGCAAGAATCTAGTACAAGGTATTTTTCACTTTACTTGCCTTTGTACTATACCAGACATGAGCAAATGCAGCTCTTTTTGAGTTACATGCGGCTCTTGCTGAAAGTGTTAATTTCTGCTTTTTATTATTATTTTTACAATTTTACTTCCACAATTTTGTAAAAATATGTTTATTAAAAAAATTCAATATTTGTTTTATATTATATTTATATTATATAATAAAATTGCAGTATAGAACTGTAATATAGAATAAAAACGTACAGAACTGCAGTTCCCATGCATTTTGCAAAACCTACATTTCGGCTTCCACTGAACTCTTGCTCGCCCACCCCTGTACTATACTGTTCACAGTGTGTATGTCATTAGCATTTACAGCAAGTGCACTTTAAGATTATACAAATAATTTTTGTAAAGTCTAATTTGTAATCTAAAGAATATAATCTTTTAATATTTTAATACTTTAACAAAATTTTTAAATATTGATCACCAAATAAAAATAAAAAAAGAAAATCTAAAATGAAACTAACCTTCATGACCCAAAGATATGTCTTCAGGAGGATTGCAATATTTTAAAGCTTTTACCATCTTGTAACTGTTTGGCGGTGGTAAATCATTATGACGATGATGAAGAAGCATAGTATGAGACGTTCTTCTTAATCGAATTTTAGTATGACCATTTCTTCCCATTAATGTTACTATTTAAAAACAATAGTTATTGTTACTACATAATTAAAAATAAATATTTTATTTTCAGTCATTTATAAATATTTCAATTTGTTTTATAAATATTTCAGAATATATAAAAATTCTGACTCCATATTATATATTAACAACATTAAATAACCAGACTTTTTAAAGAAATCAAAACTTTTTGCTTTTTTTTTTAGATTTACTGCTTAAATTTTAAAAATAAATATTTAAATCTTAACTAAAAATTATTTAAATACAAAAATTATCAAATTTTAGTTCATAATTATCTATTATTTTGAATTTTACTTATATAATTGAAACTATAGAATTTTTTGAAGTGTATTTGTGATGTAATCTTTTATGGAGAAATAAGTTCCAGGTGTTTTTAAGAGAGATCATTATATTAAAAGCATTAAGACAACTCTCTCTCATTTATTTAATGGTTTTCTTATTGTAGTTCTATCAATATTAAATTAAAAAAACTTACAAACTTCTTATTAGTATTTTCTTTTGAAATTTATATACAATATGATCATTTTTATTCATTTGAAACTGGAATTGTCATTTTAATATGATTAAGCAACAAGTCTAATTACTATATTGATTTAATTTTTTGTATGTATTCAAAAAGAAATGAAATCAATCTTGATTTTACCAGGGCTCTGGAGTTGTAGACAGAAGCACATTTGTTGGTAGAGGTGTTAGAGCTAGTAAAACAGACCAACTTGTTATTTTATGTACTTTACGTTAAGCTCTTAATAGCAGTATTAACTTCCTATCTTATATTATAGAAGCCTCCTGTAATTCAGAAATTTATATTCAAATACATTGCACTAGCTAATTCTGTTTACTGTCAAAAGACATACAAAACGGCACAGAGTTTGGGTTAAATTTAACATTTTTGAATAGTTTCCTATACCCACGAAAAGAAAATATTTTGTAAGTTAATATGTGGTTGTTGTTGATTATGATGATGATGATGATGATAGTGGTAAAAATGAAAAACTCTAATTTAGTAACTTTTTGACTGCAGTAATATAATGCATGGTATTGCAAAGACCAGCATATATTGAAAATACTTGTTAATTATAATTTTTCTATCATCAAGAAATTTTAAATTATGAAAAAATTGTCCAAGTTATGCAAAATCCATGTTAGCAGGGATTACTGTATAGTTTACATTATTACTTAGAGACAGGAGTTGGACTTTCTAAAATTCTATCATAGGCTTGGTCTACTAATTGCACAGTCATGGATTTTATATCACTTTAATAACTAATGTGCAGTGAGTAAAGCAAGCAAGCTTCCTTGGCAGTGATGACAGCAACTCAAATTGACAAATCACTGAAATGTAAGTTGCAAAGTAATGACTTGACTGATTTGTATGAAATTTTGCACATTAATAGAAGTAATAAAATGGCATGTCATGTCATAAAAGAGGCCAAATTTTAAAATTAAAATGGGAAATATCAGGGTCAAAGGTTACTCCACATTAAGTCAATGGAAATTTTGCATCGTAAAAATGTAAACGAGTGCACACTACCTGACATACGAAATAAAGCAAAACTCTTGCCAAATTTTTTAAAATACTGATCTTTTTCCATTTTTCTCAAAAATTTAACTATACATAACCTATACACTAAAATTAATCTATATACATTAACATATTTTATCTCACACAATGTTTATTATATAGTTAAAGTTTTAGAACAAAGATAAAAATTTGCTGCTTATGCAGAGTAACAAGTTGCTTTAATTTAGCATCTCCCAATGATCTAACATGAGTTCACAAGCCATCACTGCACTTCAGTCAGGAATGAAGCTCTCTTACAAGTTAGTTGTATTTTATTAACCATACCATAAAAGGTTGTGATTTATAAAACATGTCTTTACAAATTAAAAACAGCATTAAATAAAGTATTTTCCCATGTTTTTAATATTATTTCAGTCTAATAGCCAGGAACAAATCATCAGAGGGTTAGAATTATAAATAAGGGACAAGCTGAAAAAATTATCAACTTATATTTTTTCTTTTCTAGTACTAGGCTTATTAGCTAATGTTCATGTGTAAAAAAGTACAGTAACCTAAAGCTTACATGATAAAAGCAAAAGTATGTATTATATATAGTGTATACAAGAATTATTCACTAAGCTGAGGGACTTAGCCACATCATAGCCTCCTATAGCTATGGTTCTGTATTCTTTTTGATCTGTTACTCTTATACAAAATATTTAAAAGTTAATTTCCTTCTCGCAGTCTTTAATATTCTCTAAATAAGACTTTCCTTTGAAAGATCTGTAATAACATTCTTTTTATTCTTTGTTATGCTTACAATAAATATATTTACCTTAATATAATCATTTTTACTGAACCTATTGAATTTGCTTGATTAAACCCAGTCTGCAGGATGGTAAAATCTTGTCTATATAAGTTCTCTTCAAGGTTGATGAGTTGTTTTAATTTATAGTACATCACCCAGTCTTCAAATAAAGCCCAGAGAATAAAGATACTGCATAAAAAGGAAATACATTGAAGTACTGCACTATACAGCATATACAGTTTAGACCAAATTTAACTAAAATTCTCTCTTCAAATTGTCCAGAATTGGATAGCACTTTCTATTCCAAGATTCAAGAAACATATTTAAAATTATATATATTGTCAGATATTGACTGGGAAAGCTGTGATCAAGTTCATGAGAACTTATCAGCTGAAGGGTAATTAGGAAAACTCAAATTGGAGATGGTGGGTATGAACCATAGGATAAAGGACAGTCAAGATCTTGATTCTGATGTTGACATTGAAATAATCATGAATGATAATGTAACTGAATCAGATTAACTGTGAAAACTAATTATTTCAAATGTTATAGCTATAATCCATAAATATAGTCAATAATTGATACTAAATTGTTTGCATATTAAATCTAAATATCTTACAATCAAAAACAATATTTATTATGTGACATATGAGTTTTCAAAATTTATTTTTTGTTTCTCTTTTACTCTTCTTGCCTTGTGGACACTACAAATACTCTTTTTTTAGGTCCATCATGGATTTGGTCAGCACCATAATGGGACAGCTGGGTGGTGTACAACAAGGGTCAACATATCTGGGACAGATTACCACTTAAAAAATTCCTAAAAATTTTTGACTACCTAAATTCAAATCCAGGACACAAGAGTAGACTGACACCCTAACTGCCTCAGTTATCTTGCTGGCTTCAAAATTTGTTCAAAACATTCATAAATGTATCATTCATCATCATCATCAATTACAACGATCATAATGTAACAATTAAAATTTCACAAACTTTAAGAATTTAAAATGTAAATTTAATTTAATTTTTAAAGTTTCATGAAATAATTGTTAAATTTTAAAATTCTTGAATTAAAAACTTTCTATTGAATAAAATATTTTTTAAAAAAGCTTTATATTTTACAACAAATACAGTAGAATCACATTTAAATGGATTATGGAACAACAGATTTATTGGAATAAAGGATTTTTTTCCAGGTCCTGCCAAATCAATGTAATTTTACCTCCTTTTAGTGGGTCTGTTACTCAGAATAACAGATTTTTTTTCTATCCCAAATCTATCGTAAACTTCACATTTTTTTAATGTATAGTTACTATTTGGGTTTCTGAAAATTTGTAGAGTTTGATGATGCACTTGTTGCATTTGGATTATGTACAATTGAAGAATTGTACAAAGAAAATCAGCCAGATGATACGATTGAGGAGGAGTCACCTGGTGAACATTGTCACTGATCCAAGTGTAGTGCTGAAATTTAGCAATGCCATCAAATATTTCCAAGTCGTGAAGACCTTCTTAATGAGTTGCAACATAAACAAACAGACTGTACTGTACATGACATACTAATATCAAGCAGTGTTGTATTTAACAGATAGAAAAGCAGCATCAAGAGAAATCAAGTTGGTCAAGGTTTTTTAGAAATCATGAAGTCAAGAAAACTACAGTACTAATGAGCATATGTAATTTGCCTCTTCTTATCCTTACAGTATGTACAATTTTCGTCAGCTTTTTTGTACACACATATGGCATAATATGTTACAAACATACGTGTTTCTATAGGATAAAGAAGAAAGATCTCAAGAAATTGAATAATTTCAAGTACTGGTATTTTTTAGGAGTTAAAAACAGAAAATTTTTTGAATAACAGATATTTTCCTGGGTGTGCGGGAAATCCATTGTTACAATATAACAGATTCTCGGAACAATGGATAATTTTTGGCAGCCGAAGCAATCTGTTAAAATGAGATTTTTCTGTAATATAAAGTTTTTTAAAAAAAGATTCAAGGAACATTTTTGAAATATTTATTGATATATCTATTGAACATATACTATTAATAGTTTGTAAAATATTAATCAAGTAACTTAGTTCAAGTCAGATAATTCAGTTCTCTACTTTTGCAAGTTCATATACTGGGTGATGTTAAACTAAAATGATTATTTTCTTAGATGTTGCAAAAAGAATTTATGCATAAACCATTAATTCTTTGAAAACATATTGGGAAGCATTATATGTTAGGTTTAATCTTTAATAATATATTTATATTAACAAAAATTAGTTGGAGATTCCAAAAAATATAATTTATAAAAATTTCAATCTTATAATATAATCGAGATGGATCGATAATGATGATAATAAGCCAGAGCCCAAACAGTTAGGAGTTGAAAGTTGAAATTTAGTACACAGTTAGGGTACATCACCAGAATGTATACAAAGAAAGAACTTTTCAAAATTTCTGCCATGGAGGAGAGAGAGGGTTAAGGATTACCCAGAATTCAGATTTTACTGTACTATTTTAAATGCGGTTTTTAGCGGAAAATCAAACATGTTTTTACACTCATCTAAAATTTCTCTAATTAGTCTTGGAAGAGGGTGAACCTAATTCTTGTACCAGGTAAAAATGGGTAAGATCGGCTATAATCTAATAATCTTAATTTTTGTTATCATTACTTTTTGCCTGAGCAATGCCAGGCTCATCTGCTAGTAATAGATAAGATATATGTAAGAAAAACATATATAGTATAGATCAATATGAGAGCATAGACATATTTTTGAAATTAAAATACTGAAAATATTCTAAGAAATTAATGTAGATTGGTATTGTTAAAAATTCTTTGAATTGTTAGACCATTGATTCTCAAATTTTTCTGATTCCTGGCTCCCTTAATCTGTTGCCATTTAGCAGCAGTTTCCCTATATATATATATATATATTATATATGTCTATTTTGCAGAGTGGGTAAACCCAACTCTATAAAATGCATATAATACAATTATTTTCATATGTGACACATGCATTGATTACAGATTTCAACTTGTAAAATTAACTACAAAACAGGAGGAATAAAAATGACTAAGAATCTGTGTCTCTCTTTTTTCACTTTTACCACTGTTATGAAGAAAAGAACATAATTTAATCTGAAAATGCAGTGATATTTTAAATTTTTGAATGTTTTTGGTCATTTTCATCAACCTTCTTCAGGATAAAAATGGTGATCAAATGACAGTTTTCATTTGACCTGAACAGAATATAAACATATTTCTTACAAATATAATTTAAAGCATTGGTATAATTAGAAGACATCTCAAAATTCAGCAATTTATCAATGATATAAACTCAAACCCATATGGCTTGACATTTAAATTAGAGCAAGAAAGTGGCACTTATGCACATTTTCTGGACATTGCATTTAAGCTGAAAAGAGGAATCACCATCAACTTTTAAAATCATTGAATATATGTCACCCCTCCAGTACATATAGAAGGAGCAGCTATGATAAGATTATACCAAAAGACGTACTAAGACACCTTATGAACTTGCAGCCGAAGTTTATTACTTCCAAATGTTTTCGGTCATGTTAAATGACCTTTTCTCAAGAAAAAGAAATAAGAGAAAGCAAAATAAAAACTGTAAAAATTGAATGCTTAGTACAAATGCACAAAAAACAAACAGGCATTTCGAATATTTTTGAATTAGCCTATAATCCGTAGCAACTTATGACAGGATCTTTAACATTGCAACGGAAGTATAAAAATCATAAAGATTACAGAAATATCTAAAAATAATAAGTACAGAGAGTTACTACCCCTGATCACCGCACATAAATACATAGCTTTAGATATAAGGATGCATAGTATCTGCTTCCTTCAATTATTAAGATTCATATTAAGCTGGATGACCATGCTGCCGATATTTTTGTCAAATCTCGAAAGTTGATTGTGAGGCCTTTATGGTTCGCTTTACAATCGAAGTCAGTGTATCATCAATTATTAAAATAACAGCTAGTCTGCCCATGGCCCCCAATTAGATTTGGCAGCACCTCTGGGTGTCATGGTAAACAGTTTGGAAAACCACTGCATTAGACTAATTTGAATGGTTTATTTTATTGCTTTAGAATTCTGCTTGATTTAGTGCAAAATCAATAAAAAAAAATAATTAAATTATGTTTCCTTAATTTACTCTGCTTATTATTTTAAAAACATAACAATAAAATAAATTTTAACCATTACAAGAAACACTATATTAATTTATTCTAAATAGACAAAGTAACTAAGCAAGGTGTCCATCATCAAGAATTGGGACCCTCCAGAAAGTCTCGACAAGTTAACTTACAGAGGATAAGAAAGTAAACAAAGTATTTAAATATTCTAAAAGAACTATAATTATATGATTTGCATGATTAATTACACAATAGATTATACAAAATTACTTCATTCAAAGCCAACTAAATATTAAAAAGTAAATCTAAACATTGTCAAACTTTGTTGACTCATCTGACACATCTAAGTATTTATTTTTGGATATAAGCCAACAAGCTCAAACTTTTGGATGTTCTTTTAGTATCAAATTAGCTACAATTTTTTTTTTTGCTTATGAAGGATTTTGTGAGGTGAATATCTATTATAAGAGTATCTGGTTGTTACAAATAAAAAAATGTTATATATCTTTTTCAAAGAATAAGCAACTTTTTCATTATTAGTCCCACAGATTAATTCATAAATCCATTATAAAAGAATGAATAAATTTTAAGACATTCTGAAATCCATTCTGTTTAGCATTAAATTAAATCTCAAAGCAATGCAGACAGTGGATGTAGGAAAGTTTTATAAAAACATTAATTATAACAATGACATTTTTTTACAATTCGTTTAAGTAACTACCAAATCAAACACCGTATTTACAAATTGATTTGAAAATATAAATATTTTCATTGTAAATACTGTTAGTGCTAATAATGATTATTTATCCAGCTTTAGTAGTATACTATATTTTGAATATTTACTTATTAAAATTGACTTTTGAAATATGTAATTTTAATTCAACTATTACAATACTGATACTATATAAAATTTTATTCCTAGTTAATTTCAGTTTATTCAAAACTATCGTTTATAAAATGTTTTAATTTTCATTTACTTTATGCTCTAGGACAATGAAGAAAGGAAACGAAAAACAATTTATATATTATGTTAAATTAAGATTTAAAACATTTGACAGACATATATATATTTTTTCCAATAATTAACATTAAAATTATATATTTGACTGACAATAATGTATATTCAATTAGAAAAATTAAATACGTTTTAGAAATACAAATATAAAATATGTTCTGGGAAAGGTTTATAAATTAAATGTTCTTATAAATGTTAATTGGCATAAATATATGATTTATTTAAATTAAAGAATATCATCTAAGATCATTATCAAAGCATTTGAAAGCCTTTTATTAGACTACTGTATTTTTTTAATATCTATCTTATTCAAAGTTTTAAACACTCAATTTATGAGATCTTCCATTTTTATGAAGTATAATTTATTATAATTATGATTTAAGTTATTAGATTTTTTCTTTAAATTCCAAAGAAATGTCTAATGAATAATATAGAAAGCCAAATAACTTCTTTAATCTTTAATCAGTTTACAGTACGCAAGACAAAACATTAAAAAAATCAACTGACATAAGTCATATAAATTCTCTTAATATGATTTCAGTCAGTTCCATTTCACTTTTTGCCAACACCTCATTTGACTTATTTCTCTTTCTATAGTTTTTTTGAAAATACAAAACTTCAATTATAAAATGTTACACTTGGTACATTTTATACATAAGAATACATTCAATAACAAATAAATTACATTAACTTTTGTTACTGTTGACTAATGAATTATTTCATATACTTACAAATGTATATTTCAACTATTTGAGTCATTATGATACTTACACTAAATTTTGTTCTAATAATTAGTTCTAATTACTGTAATTACTGAACTAATAATTAATAGCATAATATATATTTTGTTGATATAGATGATTATTTAATATAAGTGTTGAGTGAAAAATTGATATTCTTAGAAATAATAAAATGCATAATAAATATAAAACATTGCTTTTTTGACAATCCACGAAACCTTTTTATAACAGTGTTCTCTCCGTAACAAACTTCACGAATGTTTTCGACCTCAACCGAGGTCTGCTTCAGGTGGTGACTAAATTATACAAAACTTCTAAATGTTTTTGAATTTATAAATCTATTTTTGCAAGATAATGCAATCTGGAAAAAAATAGATGCCAACAATCTGATTAACTATTGTAACAGGCATTTATCAGCAACTCAATATCTAAAGACTTGAAGAAATAAAAATAAATTACGAATGAAAATACTTGCTTTGATAAAAACAGTGTTTTATATTTATTTTGTTTTCAAAGAAACCTTTTCATTTTATTTATAATGCATATACAGTTTATGTCATTAATGCAAAATAAATAATAATTTTCATCTCAAATTAAAACAATTTTTTTAATAAGAAATTTTCCAGAAAGTCATCGTGCTCCTAAATGGAAATAATAAATGCAAAGTAACTAAATAAATACAGAATACACGGCAAAAGATGATCCAATTAGCACTTTCATAACGTGTGGTTTTCAAAGTTATCAATCCACGGACCACTTAAACAGAGCCGCAAACAAAATGCAAACTACGTACATTCTCGTCCACTTACTCTGTAAATATTACCTTAGTTATAATAAACAAAAATTTTGGCACGCAATCTATCTGGCAATTTAACATAAGAGATGCGTGAAAAATGTTCTTTTCTCTGGAGAAACAGCATAGAATTGTATTTTGGAAAAATGATAAAGTGTCAGTCTGCGGACCACCCAGTGCATGTTTACAAACTAAGAATCACTGTTTTAGACATTATTCTTTAAAAAAAAAAGTTTCTAGAGGAAATTCTATTTTAAAATAGAATACATATCTCTCAACTGTATTAAGAACAAGTAAAACGGCGAAAGCCATTCTTGGGACGAGACTACATCTCGGAGAGCGTGAGCAACACGTGTGCAAATCCCGCCCTCGTGCCCATATGTAGAAAGTCTCAGCATTTTGTATTTTATTTTGACCCAGTTCTCGGTCCCGACTACCTACAAGTCTGGTTTATTTTACGTGCGCACGACTTGGGCACCAAATACTCTGTGCTAAATTGCAACTCCTGCGTACTTCTTCATACCTCAAGGTATGCAGCCGTCGACAGCAGCAAAGCAATTTATAATTTTTAAGCAAGTTTTTTCAAACAAGTTACTTTTAGGAGCTTGTTTGAAAAAACTTGAATTTGTAAAGTAACTTGTTTTTTCAACTTTGTTTTTACAAATTATTTAAAAGTAACTTTCAATTTTTATTTTCTTTATAAACCTTCAAAGTTTCTTCTATTCTATATGTACTATATAATTCTCATTAATAAAATGATTAAAATCACGAAGTATTATTAATATTTAGTTATAAATACGAATTGAGAACAGAATAAAGGTTGTTTACACTGCAAACTTATGAAAAATGGGAAATATTGTATAATATTTATAATGAAATTACCGGTGCATATCATTCCGACAATCCAAACTACAAGAAGCGAGCCAAAGAGAATTTTGTGACGGGATATCAACTTCATGATAACGGAAGGATTATCGGTCATCTTCCTCTTCTCATCCAAACAAACACGTAAAATTGACAAATCAACACAGCATCAGTCTCGGTACGACAGCTTGCGCCCTCTTCGGGAATATTTTCAAACTAAATGTATATTAAATCTCTCTTATCTGTAATTAAAACTGAGTGAATATTTTTAAGTTTTTACATTTTTCTAATGATTATTATCTGTAAAAATAATTATGATCGTGTATTTAATTAATTAATTAATTAATTTTTTATGTTAATTAAAGAAATTGGCCTGAGAGAGTGGTTTGTCCTGGTCCAATTTCTTTAATTTCCAGCATATGTTTTCTATTGGATTGAGCTCTGGACTATTTGTTGGCTAGTCCGTTATGTTGCAGCGGCATAACTAAGGGGAGCGAAGATAATCATATACGTCGGGCGCCGATCTTGAAGCTGTAAAACTTTTTTGTAATTAACGTTGAATCAGGGGTGCCAGGTATGCGGTTTGTCTCGGGCACCAAAACTACTCGGTTCTATTCTGTTGATGTGTTGTTACGAAGAAATTTTTTAACAGTTCGAGCCTTGTGAAAAGATGAATTATTATCTTGGAAAATGACATCACCACTAAAAGTAATTTCAATAGATGGAATAAAAAAGTTCTTCAATCGGGGCATTCGCTGTTGATGTAATAATGACTAATTCTCTTGGTCTTTCACCTGAAGTGCAACCCCAAATGATCACGGAAGTAGGAAATTTTGTTGCTTTCTTTAGGCAATCATCCTTATAAGCTTCATTACAATACCGCCAGACAAAAGTTCCACCATATTCTTCTAGATCCATACAGATTTGTGATTCATCACTGAATAATCACTTTCACCCAGTCGTCTAAAAGTACACGATTGCTTTGCTTTGGTCCATTGTAACCTGTTTTCTTGTTATGCTTTGGTGTTAATGTCGGACATCGTTTTGCTTTTGTATATGGAAATCCCATTTCTTTCAAACAATTTCTCAGTGTTCTCTTACAGACACTAGCACTCACTTCAATCCACTTCCTATTAATTAATCTTTGTTGTACATTTTCTATTTTTAAGATACATTTCTATTAGTTTATTGTCCTGACACGCTTTGATGTCTTTTGTCATACAACTGACTGTGAACAGCCGACATGTTTTACAAGTCCTTACTGAATTACCTTCTTTACGGAGTTTTACAATCCTTTCCATTGTTTAAATGCATATATTTCATCATTCCAAAAACGATTTCATCATACATGCAAAGTGAAATAAATTCTGAATGTGATGATTTCATTATACGAAATATGTTAACATTGTGATAAATATCTGATAAAATTCTTTATGATTTACAAATGCAAAACAGGATAGATGATAAAGATTGATTTAATTTCTTCATTATCAATGAAATTGTATATTGCTGCAATAGGCTCGCAGCTAGTGACTCAGCTATCACTAGAAAATTTTCAGCCACGCCTGTACATTGTTCTAAATGACGAAATTCTGTTTATATATTTATCTTTAAAAAAATATAAATAATGAATTTTTAACGTTTAAATTTCGAATATTTCTGTACGGTCGAGCGTATATTACTTAACAGTTTTAAATTACATTCCAAAAATTTTTCAGAAAAGGGCCTCAGACCTTCTTTCTCTGAGGTATGTCACCCAGAGACTCTGGAAGTCCAAACCAGAATTTGCTAGAGCCATCCTTACTATAGTCGTTCTACTACACCCTCATATAGCAATAACTTAATTATTGCATATTGAAATTGCATATTAGATCTAACAGTAGTTTCCCAGGAACTTCTCACAGGAGTGCCACAAAATTCCAAAAAAAGAATCATCTAAATATGCTAATTTGTTTCTCTATTCTAATGTTATTACTTTTACAATTACTTGTTTCTCTATTTTTTAATATTATCTTTATATCTTTTTTACGTGAGAATAAATGCAGATTTACAACATCACTGTTTGTTTATACACATAAGAGCATCTTTGATTACAAGCTGGGTCTTTGATATGTCCGCCAAAAATTGTACACGCCTCTAGCTTAAAAATGGTCATGAATTATTGATTGGTGTTGACTGTGATATATTTGTAATAATGCGTTGTTTAGAAGTTTATACTGTATTTTAACATTAGTGTAAAAGAAATGTGTCATACGTTTTACGTGATTATAAATCATAAAAGATCTCACGTTGATTTATGGAATATCTACAAGAGATCTTTATAAACCCCATTATATGAATCTAGTGAATGAATAGCTCATTGTTTAAGGAAAAACAAGTTTAAAAATATAGAAAATAATCACAATAAAAATTAAATTTTTTATCGGACTAAATAAGCAAAATTAACTTTGTTAAACTTCGTATCTGATATATAAAACTGGCCACATTATCAAAGAATAGTTTGTAAAACTGTTTGTACGTCATTGATTACATAATTTACTTATTATTAATGCGGTATAATCGGTAAGATATGCATTTATCGAAGGCGTATTACAAAAAACAAATGATAATATTGATTTATTTAAAGATCTTTTAGATAATAAAAAACTAATTTTAGAACTTCAATGGAAAGAAATATTGCGTAATTTTTATTTAATTCAGAAAATTTCCAGTTTTCTGATTTCTTTAAATAAATCGAATGGAAAAAATAGGTAGTTCTTGTGGTTTTAATGTTTTAGAAAATGGGAATTAACTGTAAAAATTCATAGACTTGTATCATGTTTGATGCAATGGTTTTATCTGTAATCAGACCAACCGGGCTATTAGACTTGACTGGTTCTCCTGTAATAGTGAAAGAGCATACATGAAAGCCAAAAACATTGCAATTATTCATTCTATCGCATTTTTTAGTATTATGAAAGAATGAAAAAGAAACCCCTTTATTTTTGTAAAATTTTATATAATTCTTTACGGTAAAAACAGTAAGAGGCCTATAAATTAGGAAAACTGATTTCACTGACTAACAACTGATATTCGATAACATTAGCACGGTCGTAACGCTGAATAAGACTCGTAGATCAAATCATAGCTCATTGATATTTGTTGCGCTTCCACGTTTTTACATGTTCCGTGTTAAGACGTTAGAATTTTGTGTGTTAAGATACCAAAGTTTTTTTCAAATAGTTTATTATTTGTTCTGCTGCAATCGGAATTGTACTGTATATGTGGTCGTCATTTTACTTTATTGGTTTGGGATGCCACCATCCCTACAGTTACTTTTAACACTTAACTGTAACATTCAGAAGCCCTATCTTTAATTAATAAGCTAGCGATGACCGAGATATCACTTCATATTAAATTTTTTCAATAAATAAAACTATTAATTTAACACCTAAATAGGGGCCAGTTTACTACAGAATGTTCTCCTGGGAGGTAGGTTACTCCTTATGTTTTTGGAGTTTATTTAGCTAGAGTAAATGGGCTGGTTTTAGGCACCTAAAATCAAATTTTTAGAACCTAAAAGTTCAAAGTCTAATGATAATATTCCGTTACCATAACTGAAAAGAAAATTTGTCTTCTCTATGAGCTGTCTTTATCGTAACTCACTGATGATATAGTAGGTAGTTTTGTATCGTAAGAGACACAGAGACATATCGGAGACTAAAAAGATTCATTTCTCGATCGGTATACGATATAGGTTATACGATACTCTATATCACAGATCATTTTTCATGTAACGGATGGATGAACTCAACTGAGAAGAAACAGAATCTTCTGGGTTTTTATAGTTTTCTGTGTTTGTTATTACTTTCTTCAAGTGACCAATTAAACTTAAACTATCGCAACTGATCGCTAAATAAATGCAGAAAATAATCCGTTTTTTCCGCTTTTTTGATAATCAATCTATTAAGAAAATATACATGTGAGAAAATAATTATAATTTTCTATAAATAAAAATAATTTTCTTTAGGGGAGTTAAACTAAACAAACCTCCAGATCGTAAACCACCTAATGATATTACATGGTTTACGATTTGTTTCGTCTCAAACGACAAAAATTGCACGAAAATCTCAGTGTGAACCGAGCTTTAGTCTACTGTTTTGTATTACTCTATAAGTTTACATCTACTGTAGTCTATAGTAACATATATATAAAGTATGACAAAGTATATTGTACTTATTTATGTAAATTTATTTCAAAATGGTTATTGTATTTTAAGAACAAACTGTTCAAAAGTTTAAAATGTCCTATAGTTTTTAAGAAAAATTTGTTTTATTTTTAAATAGATTCGATAAAATAACTCTTCTGTAATATTAACTTTTAACGATTTTCAATTTTTTTTCGATCTACTTTTACATTTATTTTTAGTTCATTGACTGACTGTATTGTATTTTACAAGTTTTCTATCAATTCGGAATAAATCTATTTTCCTTATATAGCCTATATATAACAGTTATATTACAGTTTAAGTGATAGACCTATAGAATTATAAAAAGCATAATATTTTTAATGTCTATATATAGATTATGACAATGTAAAATTAAGTTAAAGTGTAAAAAAATAATTACAATAAAATTTAATTTGTCATACATTCTTATTCAACTCTTTCCGGGACAAAATTGTTAAAAATATGTCTTTAATTTAGATCTGTAATTAATCTGAAAATTTTATAAATCATAATAAACTTTTTAATATTAAAGTCATGAGATTTTGTAAAGACGAAATTATTTGGAGAAACGAAACTTTTTTTCAATTTATTGTGTAGAAACTCAATTATAAGCTCTTACTTCTACATATGAATGTGCAATTGTTTCAAATTTGTTTTAACCATTCTTAAATAATAATTTTTAAAAAAATAAATAAATCTCGGTTAACTGACTTTTGGACCACCCTGTAGGTCAAAACATGTTTGTTATTTTTACTTCATCTGTATGTTTATATATAATATAATTTCCTCGTGACTTCTTAAAGCCGTCATTATATTTTAATAATAATTAATTAATATTTTTTTAAATGTTATATTATTATTAGAAGTTCTATTGCTGAAAAGTTTAAATTATAACATATTTCACCCTTGACATCAAATGTTTTTAATTATTATCTGATAGAAGTCTGATAGAAGATTAGGAAATTTGTCCTATTAACCTCAGCATTATTATAGATTTTATTGTTAATTTTAATTGCATCATACTTTTGAGGAAATTTAAAACTTAAAACGATCAAAATAACAGAAACAAATAGGTAAAAACATCCTATAAAATTTGTATTCTCGAAATCTAAACAGCTGGTTAGAACATAAATCTTTGTTTCAAACTTAATATTGATTTGGAAAAAAAAAAAAAGATAATTTAATATCGATACTTAGAAAAAAATTTGAAAGAGAATAAACATTTCAGATAACGATTATAGACGTATAAAAATACCTTTATAAATTTTTATAAACTTCAAATTTATTTTGTTTACAATGTATTAACTTAATCGGTGTAATATAGATAGGTTTTCAAAACATTATGCATATTAAAAGGATAAGATATAATGCGCAGTTCTTTAGATATTAAACATGTATAAGTGATAAGTAGTTTGTTACAGAAACAAATCTTACTGTATTTCCAATATATATACAAACATATTGATAAAACAATTGATAATTAATACAATTGTAATTGCAGAATATATTTGACAAAACTGGAAAAAATTCGTCGATGGACTTCGCTCTATTAATATATATAATTTATTACAAACATAATATAATGATAATTTCATTTTTATCTCATTTTACAACTCAACATTTATCTCTCTGACATAAACTTTATGTTATCTATTTATTATCGCAATGAGCTTTACTGAAGAAAAACAACGTTTAAAAATAACAGACGTGTCATATTAATATAGAGAATGGATGCTATAACATATTTTTAAAATGTAAAACAAAAAATTTAAACTGGTTATCGTATAAGAATCGATTATCCGAAATCTCGATCTGTTTCAGGGATCTTTCGTTCGGATAAATAACGTTTTGAATATTCCAGAAACTTGTTTGTTTTCCTTTTTCGGATACATCAAGCATTATTAATTTAAACGTTTCGTGAACTATAAATACTTTAATGTCATTACTGCATTTGAGAATAAATTAATTCACTCAAAATATAACGTAATGTTATGATATATTATGACCTAGTTTCGCGGCGCTAAAATCGACAGATGACGAAGTAATTTCCAGTAATGTGGAGAGTTTGATCTCTATGTTTTATACCTTGTGGTCTGTACAATGCCTTCTAGCTTTTTCTTTTTCTTGTTTTTTTTCTATTATAAATTTATACTTCTACAAAATTACTATTAAAATGTTTAAATAATTTTTTCCTTAGTGCCAACGGTATTCTTTACCTTATCGCTATGGAGTCCAGAATCGAATCCGACCAATCGATAAACACCAGTTACTTTTCGGGGAATAAGTCTGAATAAGTGTCTCTTAGGTTCGGCCAGACCTATTGGCCGAACGTAAAATAGTAGCTGTCCTAAAATTAGGCAACGCAATGGGTGTGTGTGCAGATAATCTTTACGCTGCCCTACAAGAAGGTGAAGTGTTTAAATAATGCTACAGTCTTAGATAACAAAATGGTTCATTTTTGTTTAATTCTTTAGGTTAACTAAAGAATTTCCGGTCCGTATGTCATATGTGAAATCTGTTCATTTTAAAATGCTTTTTATATTTAATTCAATTAAAAGATTACTATTTTTTTTTTTTTTTAATCGAAGAGTCGCCGCTGTAATTTCATGCCACAACGGGAATGTTTGGATATACCATCATCCGAAGACAAATAAACAAGGTTTTTTTTTGTTTTTGTATAAAAAACAAAAAAAATTATTTGGATTTTATTTGGATTTTGATCGTATACTTGTTTATTACAGTCTCGGAGAGCAATAATACATATAGAAAACTTTTCTGTGAAATTAAACTTCTCGCACATATGCCATTTTAATTACTTACTGTTTATCTATTTAAACTTATGTAGAACTAACTAATTTTTTAACTCGCGCATTCGGAAAAACTACTTTATTATATAATATAACGGACTTTAGGATTTAACGGTCACCCCTCATCCAAATTAATAGGCCCTACGATAAAACTTTGTTGGAATTATAAATCCTAATCGGTCTTCATAATTTAGGAAACTGGACATAATGTTTATAAATAGATATATGATAGGTAAATTAAGCAATAGAATGATGGAAATCCAGTTTATAAATAAATCCATTTGTTAAATACTACGAAAATTTATGAAATTTATTTTCTTTTAATGTATAAAATCAAAATATGTATAAGGTAACGTACAAATTAATGTAAATATTCATCTGTAATAGTGTAGGCTGAATTTGAAAAATAATTTTGTATACTCTATATATATAATATATTTAAACACGTGCCCGTTATTTCCCAATTCTCCTTTTTTTACTGTTTTACTCTCAAAGAAAAGTTAAAAAAAAAAAAACTGCACGATCCAG